TGTGTCTTCAGGGTCACCTGAGTAGTGCAAATGTGTGTGGACTCTAGTTGGAACAGCTGAAATCATTGTGTTGTAGACTGGAGATAGATGATGCTGTATCCCTCCCTCTCTGTTGAGGGCTGTTCAGCATAGGAGAACAAACCCATCAGGACAAGATTCAGCAGTCCATCTGCATTTAAAAGACAACAGCCACTCTTTTGAACACAACAAAGTCCACATTTTGGACAGAGAGGGGCCACTGGTTAGAAAGATTGGTCATCTATGTCAAAATTGAACAGCCTTCTCTCAAGAGAGCGTCTACAACACAGTCCTCCCAATCTCCAAGTGGCCTCAATGACTCTCTAAAAATGCAAATGACCAGCTGTCTGCAAGGAGTATAAATCCTTCCATTCCTCACTATTCAGTCAGAGCTGAAGCAGCTTCTCGGATGAGAAGCTAAATGTCTTCCAAAAAAAACAAGGCAGTCCAGTTGCCTCTTGAAGAAGCATTTTTGGGATAATGGCCAGTTTGCTTAACTGATCAAAAATCTAAAGGTATTTGAAAAAAAAATAGTATCTTTGTATTTTTCCATGCATTTTACATAGTAATAATAGTTAAAATTAGAAATACCTACATTTTCAATTAGCAATTTTCTATTATTTTCCTAGAGCACCCATCACATCCTAACCATAATTTTTATAGAATTAAGCCAAGCGTACACACTCATCTAGGATTGCATTGGCAATGGAAGCAACATGCAGATAATGTGGTAAAATGAAGGAGCTGCTCTTGAAGGATCTGGTATATGATCAAAATGTGCAAACGACAATTGCTCCTTTCCAGACACATCAACAGTTTTATTAGCATGAACTGAAACGTTGGCCATAAAAACTGTATCTTCACTAATAGCTTCTTTATGCTGCTTAATCAGTTCACTTTCCAAATGTTTTTTCCAAATGTTTCCACAGCATCTCTTCCTTCAGTATGAAACTCAAGGAAGCTTTGTACATTTCCAGTTGTGTTGTTTTTTTCTATGTCGTAGCAGACAATATCAAATATTTTTATGATTTTCATTATTTAGATGTTTACCACCACCCACAGACCTTGCTTTTGTTTCTAGTGCATATGAATGCCCCTGCTTAGATATTGTGGTATACAGTAGATTCGGCTCCTGGTGTTGACAGCAGTTTTCTTCCTCATTTCTTATTCTCTTCTCTGATCTTTCCTCCAGTTATTTTATTTAATCTGCATTTTGTTAAAAACGCCCAGCTATCCATTCCTGGGAATCTGTGTAATGTGTTTGTAGCGGCAGGCACTTAGTTCATTTCCCAAACAAACCATCTCTAGCCTGGGCTGATAAGAGCAAAGGAGCAGATATATAGATGGTGGCTGGGTATAACACAAATTTCTGTTGCTTTAATTACTACTTCACATTACTTATTCATAGACAGCATGTCTACAGATTGAAACCACTAAGAATCTTCACATAAGGGAGTTTCAGGCCTGGGATGAAAAACAAACTTTCAGTTTTAGATGAATTGGATTGAGTAAGGCAGTATAGTACAGCATGGTATACTGTATACCATATCGAATGTTAGTAATACTAGATGTACGTGTTCCACAAATATACCTTCCTGCGTTTCACACTTTCCCAATGCTGGATCCCTTAAGAAACTTTAGAGCGTCTGAATGAAATTAACAGAAAAGTTAATTTTAATTTAATTTGGTTTGCATCTCTTTTCCTCTCCTTTTTTTTTTGTAAGTAGGTGACATGATTAGAAGTTAGGTAGGATAGAAAGAAAAGTTTTTTAAACAAAGGATGATGTGATTAAAAGTTAGAATAAGATAGAAATAAGAGAAAAGGGGAATATTAGTGTATACACTTTTATATAAAATAAGAGCAATAAGAGAAAACATGGACTAATTGAATAATGACAAATTGTAACTTTATATTAATATCTATTACTGTTAGACAAATTGTAACTTTACATTAATATCTATTACTATTAGACAAATTGTAACTTTACATTAAT